AAATGATGAGGTTGAATCAGCTGCATTACAACTCGTTTCAAACTCATTAAAAACCAATTGGACAAATCCATCAATTAAAAAACTTACTGAGGGTCACTCCAATAATCTCTTTGCTATTCGTCCATCATCAAAAGATTCCGATGATAAAAAAGATCAAGGTGTTATTGTAAAAGTTTATGGTAAAAATTCAGATTTAATTATTGACCGAAAAGAAGAAATTCGTTTTATGCTTCATTTGACTCAATTTCAAATGGCTAGTCAAATTTTACTTACATTCAATGATGGTTTTATTTATGAATATATACCTGGTACTCCTGTTGATATTAATGATGAACAAAAATCGTCAGTAGAATATATATATATATTACAATTATGAAATCGTTTGATATTTTTTTTTAGATTACTCATTGCTCGAAGAATGGCTGAATTTCATTCGATACCATTGATGAAAAGTAATGATAATCAAACAAAAGCACAATTATCAGAAAAACTTCGTCATTTTGTTAATTTATTAAGTGGAAAAAATGATGAATTACATAAACGATTAGATAAAAAAGGTTCATCTATATTATCAAATCTCGAAAATATTTCTTGGAGTGATATTAGTAATGATATTGATAAAATTGAACATATATTTGAAAATAAACAATCAAAATGGTCTCATATACCTGTTATTGTTTGTCATAATGATACATTAATTGGAAATTTTTTATGTGATGAAGAAAATAATAATGCGATATCATTAATTGACTTTGAACATTGTGCACGAAATATGTGGTTATTTGATGTTTTTAATTATTTTATTGAATTTGCTGGTATGGATTCTGTAGAACCCGATTTTGATGGAACATATCCATCACGTAGTAAACAACAAGAATGGTTACAAATTTATTTATCACATGCTACGTTTTTACATAATGAAAAAATAAAAATGAGTCTAGATGAATTATGTGATTTAGGTGATTGTCTTCGTGCACCTATTCATCTCTATTGGGCATTATGGTCTTTTCTTGAAGCATTATGTAATCCAGCGGCATTGAAAGAATTTGATTATATTAAATATGGAAAATCTCGATTAGAAGAATACAAAAATCGTAAAGATGAATTCTTTTCGACTGAAGTTAATCAATAAAAATATTTTATTGTATTATTATTATATATTTTTAGAATATCGAAAATAAACCAAGCTTTTGTTTATTCAAAATAACATTAAGAAATTTTGTCTTTTTATTTGATTCTCATGTACTAATTTTTAGAAAACCGACACAGGACAAATGCTGACTGCTTAAACGATAATTCTGTCATTCTTTTTTTAAACTTACATCGATAAGCATTCTTGCTATAATTGCCTGGAATTAATTATAACTAGAATTAATAAAATTCAGGAAAAATATAAAAACGATAGGTATAGATAAGGATCTTTTATTTATCCACATTCATCTTCAGCATGGTTTAATATTAAGCCATTCGATCATTTCTATTTGATGATTTAATAAACTCTAATCATGTATCCAATTTCAGCGCAATCGAAAGCATGAAATTCTTTTTACTTAACATTTATTCAATCTTTTCATGGATTATCAGTAATAAAACTTTATTTTTTCTTTTATCTTATTTCACGATTTTTTAATTAATAAAAATTTATTTTCTCTTTTTCAAAACCAACTTTTCATTCACAATATTATTTCGAATTTTTCAATTCGATAATTTCCCCAATCAGCAACATAAAGATTTCCTTCGTCATCGAAAGATAAACCACGAGGACCATTCAATTGATTTAATTGATTTCCTTTTCCATTGCCACCAACGACAATTTCATCGTCTTCTCTTCCTTCACACCAACGCATTATTCGACCATTCTCACAATCTGCCACATAGATTTGACTCCACTGATCAACAGTCACTCCTCGAGGTGAAGATAACTGATCAAGATTTCTTCCTTGACGATCTCCTCCAGCAACAATTCTTCCTTCTTTTGCATCTTCTATCCATTTTATCACACGATGATTGTCTCTATCTGATACATAAATAGATCGATCTTCATCAACAAAGATAAAGGTAGGATGGTTGAGTTGATTTAACTGATCTCCTTTTCCATTTCCACCTGCCACTATAATTCCTTCGTTGTTTTCTCCTATCTTCCATCGTCTCACTTCATTCTTCTTATAACCAGAAACATAAAGAAATCCATTTTTATCCATTGCTAACCCCCAACAGTCAATATTGTCAATGAGAATTTGTTGATTTTGATTGAACCATTGAATCACTCGTCTATTCCCTTGATTAGAAATGATGATCGAATGATTTTGTTGATTAACAATCACATCTGTTGGATTATTTAATTGATCCATTCGATTTCCTTTACCATTTCCGCCTGCAATGATTTGTCCTTTCTTTGCATTACATTTCCATTCAATAATACGATGATTATCAAAATCAGCAATGAAAATGTTTTTCATTTCATCAATAAAGATTCCACAAGGGCTATTGAGTTGATTTAATTCCTGTCCTTGTCCATTTTCAGCAGCTATAGTGATGGCATTTTGTTTCCATTTGTTAAATTTCGATTCTACAAAATGATAGCAATAGAAGATTTTCATGACAAAACGAAGAAAAGGAAAAAACAGAAAATTACTTAAAAAATATTTAATTTTCATCAATAAAAAATAAATTATAATCAAATTATTTTTTATTAAAATATTTTTCAAGAGAAAATTTATTTTTTTTCTGAGTAAATTTTCTTATTATTTGTTTCTGAAGATATTTACTAATTATAGCAATTATTTTCTATTTTATGAGTATCATAAATCCTATATGATAAATTTATTTTCTAAAAATCTACTCAATAAAAATAACAAAAACTCTAATGATAAATTATCATTCAGATCATTACAAAATCTGTTTTTTTTCTTTGAAATAATAGAAAATATCTTCCGGATTGTAAATCATAAAAGAGAATAAAAAAAGATCTAGATTTTTTGTAATTTATCAAGTACTTTAATATAAGTTATCTAAAATGATGAAATTCAAACAATGTGTACTATTTAATTAGTTTGTTTTTCTTAAAACAATTATCAAAGTTTGAAAATTATTCAATATATTTTTAATAATGAAACATCTTTTGAAACTCTGTAGAAAAATTCTTTATTTCAATCTAATATTACATTTCATATTTTATCATTTATTCTTTTATATACAAATAAATTTAATTTATAAATTAATCAATAATATTCTTGATTTATTTAAACTTCTCCATCTGTATTTTTCTTTCAGGAATTATTTATTAAAAATCTTACTTGGTAAAATAATTGAAATTTCAGTAACAAATGATTTTGAATTTTGTCGAATAGTAATATTTGATGGCTTATTCATATCTTCTGTAATTTCTATCAATTGATTCTTTAAATAACTTAAATTTATCTCATTAAATTCATTTTCTTCATGGATTTGTTTTATTTGTTCAGTTAGATCTTTGAATTTCATGTCAACATCACTAATAAATGTTTGGCAAGATTTAATCACATTTTCTCTACAATCTTTGGCTTTTTGTTGAATTTTTTCAATTGAATTTGTTTCCCATTGATTAATCTGTTCTATCAATGAAGGATTATATGGATTTTGTTTTTGTTCATTAATTTTTTGTTTAAATTGATCATAATCATTAATTATATGGTTTAATTCTTCATTTAGCACTTGTTGATGTTCGTTTAAATGTATTAAACAAAATTCTTTTGAACATCCTCTACAAGAATATGTAATTCTGTCTTTATTACATTTCAGACATCGAGTTTTGTTATTTGCCATTGCCATATCTTTGAATATAAGTCTATGGAAGAAATGACTATCCTTATCTACTTTTATGAACATTAATTAGTGAACGACTCAATGTTAGCAAAAATATTGCTGGATAGTCGAAGAAATATAAAAAGAATATTTTTTATGACTAAATCCTACTGATAAAAGTGATGTAATATCTAACACAGCTGCACTAAAACTGGAAGTTGATTTCTCTTTAATTTCAAATAAAACGTGGAACTATTTTTGAGATGTTTTCTCAATGAAAGAGTCTTTTAATGAAGAATTGGGTGTAGGTAATGATTAGACATATATTTGCACCCGCAACTTTGTGCTCCAGATCAACAATATATCAATGTCTCATTCATCCGACTGTATCACCATGTTTATTTTGATTCAGTCTTATTTTCATCATTATCGTCTCTCTCGTTCTCAAGATAGCTGTTGTGGGATATTCTTTTTTGGTCATTTTTCATATTATTTCAAAAAACTAACTTACCAAAATGATAGTATTTCGAAGAAGTAAATCTAAAAAATTTGTGATGTTTGGTTGTTTTTTTTGCAATTGTGTATTTTATTTCAAAAAAAGAAATCTGACAAAACATTTCAAGTGAAGAAGAGAACAAAAATAAGAAAAAAAAATGTTTTGTTGTTGATGAAATGGATTTTTAATGTTTCATAATGAAACAATTGTGAAGAATGAAAAGTAAATAGGACGGAGAAAAATAAAATTTTCGAAAGTTTCGTTTTGTTAATTGATGAAATTGAAAATTCTTCAACAAAAGAAAACCCATCGAAATAAATAGTAGGGTGGCTGTAGATATCATTTTCAACTCATATCCCCACTTGCACTCCAACACTGACAGCTTAAATATAAATTGGAATCAAATAAAACTTCATGTTTAAATTCGTATACTCTTTCTCAATAATTTAACATTGATTAATATCACCAATAAATTAAAATGAGTTTTCAAGAATGTTTCTAATTTGATGATAACTGGCACCGATTATTAAAAAAATAATCTTAGACTATTTTTTAATGGAATAAACAAATAATAAATATTCATTATTTCTTAATTGAAATATTTGATTTGGTATTACAAGACTTATCTACTTTCAATTATCTGGGTGTAGATATGGGTTTGAATGTGACAATATGTCACCCACACCCAACTCATCCCCCCCCCCCCTTCAGTAGTCCGAGCAAATCAGGCGCACATATGAATTTCCCGCATCGAAATATCTCAAAAAATGTCTTTTTTTGAACGTCCGTCTTCGATGGTTTTTGTGACCCTGCAGATATACAAGCAATCAACTAAATAATTTATTTCTATTAAACTCTTCTCTACGAGAAAGAGAACAAAGAGAACGAAACGAGAATGATGTATGGTATCCTCTAACACAAACGACTAGTTACTGTCCTTCTTCGTAACGATAGCAACATAAAAATAGGATTAACACGTTGACTGTCCGGTGTATCATATGTGATGCACGATACTTTGGACTGAGACGTCCGGTGCATCACATATGATGCACGCGCTGCATATGATATTTAAACTATTGAAATATATCGGCACGATGTAAACAGTATCCGCGGGAGCGGGGGGGGGGGGGGGGGGGGGGGGAAGGGGGGGAGTAAGGGAGGAGGGTGTACCCCCCCCTTCCGATAATTCGAATTTTGTTTTTTCAACGACGGAAACTGATTTGGAAAAAATTTTGTGCTTTTTCTGGCAAGTTTTTATCTATAGTATTATTCTAAGAGAGACAATTGAATCATATATGTTGCATGGAAAAAAAGCATCAAAGATATGTTTAAAACTTATTTTTGTGGTATATGAACGTCATACGCTTCAAAAATAATATATTTTACAAGTACGAAAAAAATAAAAAATGGACGTAGAACAAGTACTCATTTTTTTGTATGGGGACAGTCAACGTGTTAAGCTTTTAAACACGACAATACATTTATAAATTTTGACTTAATATAAACTATAAATTTTTAAAGTTTTTGCATATGAATTTCTTTATTATTTTATAATCATAGAGTTAATACTAAGCAAGAATGACAACGATATCAACAACAACACAAGCTGATAATTCTTCGCATACGTCAACAAACGACATTCGACCTAAAACTATTGACAATTTACATACAAATCCTATAATTCATATATATCAACGGATAATTGACTCGTTCAAACGTGCCGCAGCCCCTAAAAACATTTCAATCGAAATAAAAGAAACATCATCAGAAGGTGATCAACATGATGCGGTTGAAAAAGG